CATATTATATCTAATATTCTATGGATCATAACCATTTATTTCTTTTTTGGACTGCAAGAAAGGAAGAGAAATTTTTTTTTCTTTATAGAACAGAAACAGTATATCCCGTTCTATTGACCACGCAATATCTGAACAGATATATATGTTATCATATAAAACATATAAAACAGGAATTCTTAACAGAAAAGGAAAAACGAGTGTCGATATATTTTTCACTGAAATATATTACAAACCAATGAGAAAACATGATACTTTAGCGACAGACGTAGTCAACCTATCAATTGCGGACCGATTTCTCTGTTTTAATTGATTGATTTGTCTACGAACTGGATTTCAAAAAATTGATGAATCAAATTTGTTCTGTTCCTTTTTTACATGTGTGACAGCGGCCATTTTTGACGGGAAAAATTGACGGCTAGCGGGAAACAACCTGAGTCATTCTTTATAGGCTCCGTACCATGGAGAAGTACCTTGGTTTTTGATAGCTAAGTCAATAGGCTGAACCGCTTTTAAAGATATAATTTCGCCTAAAATGAATTTAGATCTAAAAGAGCTTGCCCTGCAATGCACACCTATCAAATAGATACACAATTATCACATTCCATGTGAAAGTATAAATAATAAGTTTTCGAAAAAACTTTTAAGTCTAAGTGACCGGAAAAATTTAGCCTCACTAGGTTTTGAAATGGTCCGCCGCGTACATATACGCAGGTTTTTAGTAAAAAAAGAAGTTAGGTACATTAGTAAATGAAAGATAAAACTCGCTAGAAACAGATTATATCCTAATCGGGATGTATAAAAATAGTCCAAACGATATATATATATATAGGGTAGGCTAGAAGTCCTTGAGCACTTTTCGATTAAATTTTTATCCATATTGGCTTGTGTTTAAAAATTTAATATCTAACTCAGAAGAGAAGATAGAGAATTCAATTCTCTAGAAAATTGGCTTTTGTTTTGAAATTATTTTCAAAATTACAGACAAGAAGAATATTCACGATATTAAAATATTCTAATTTGATAGACAGCATAGAATAAACTTACTTTTGCTGATCTCTCAGTTCAACTTTTAGATAATTATTTTAACGTAAAAAGATGCAGAATTTTACGGGCACTACAAATTCAGCACAGCCTTTACCGTAGATGTGTGAGAGTGTGTGCTCAATCTGTAGAATTACCATTTTACGCTGTAAAATCTGAGAAAAAAAGCTTTTGATCTAACGGCTAAGGGATGCTGTTGCTACGACCTCAGACAGTTTTTTTCGCCAGTTTCTCCTTACCTTAAACACATTGCAAAAAAATTGTAATCAATAATTATCTATTCAAAATAAATGTGAACAGTGGCTTTTGAAAATACACAGAATCACGAAAGAAAGCACTTTTTTTTCTTGGTCGGTAGATTATTTAACCTGACTGACTTATCAACAAAATCCATATTATCGGTATTTTACTCCCCAACTTGAAAAATTTATAACCATGGATTTTATATGAGAAGATGCAGAATTTCTTACTTTATAAGATCACATACACTAGAAAATGGAATTATAAATTTAATTTCAAAAGTATAAAATAATATTAGATGCCAGTAAAGATGGATTCTCCTAGACTCTCAAGAAAGTTTCTGAAAAACTTTTCAGTGAGTGACCTTGACTTAGAAGGACTTTGCTTGGCCACATTGACTTCCTACAGCATTTTTCTCTGAATTTTATGATGTATTGTGTTTTGATAAATAAATCTTTTTTAATCAAATACGCGAATAAGAAACCCCAATTAGACAGGTGTCCAGTTTTCATGACGGACTATTTTAGTATTTTTATTATTTCTGCAAATTTAATAGAAATGTTCCAGGACTTCTGACCCATCCTATATACTTATTGGGATATGAGATCACGTTTCATAATGTGAATGACTACAAAAAATAATACAGTTCAACATCCTTGTATGCAGCAAAACCTCATCAGTTCAATTCACGAGTATTGTATGTAAGTTATTTTTGAGCATTATTCAGTTCTTAATACTTAAAGCTGTATTCGTGCCACTCTCAATTTTTTCTCTAATTAGTCGAGAATTGAATGTTGATAGTTTTCCTTCTTTATTGGATAAAAACACTTCAGGGAACATTAGGTTACAAACTGGAACGGACTGTATCAATGAACGTTAATGCTAAATGTCTGATAACTAAAAGTCACGCGTATTAGTAATCAAAAGTATGTTAGCAAAAAGTTGACTAAATGTGAAAAATGACGGTATGTCAACAGCGAAAGGTGAATATTAAATTGATTTTTCACTATTTTATGATAGTAAGATATTTATGTGAAAAAAAGTTCTGAGTAAACTGTTTCCTTAAATTCCACAGCGGTTCTCTTTGAGGGAAAAAATTGACGATTAACAGGGATCAAGTCAGAATCATTGGCTCAAAAAGCCAATTCAGCGTAAAAGGTAGAAGTTACACGGTGGCATCAGCATCAATTCACATTGGTAATAGGAACTTACGCCTCATTTTTACATCTAGCCTACATTGACTCGAGAAGTCACGGTTTACATGTGCAGTGTTCAGAGAGAAGGAGCATTCAATATCAACATTAAGTTTCACATTTCTTCCGTACTCTTTTTACACTTTTACTGTGAAATTCTTTTATAGTTTGGTCGAGAATTTTGTCACGAGAGAGATTCGTCGCTTTGTTTTGTCGCGGCACCGTATATAAAAATTATCGATTTTGTAAAAAAGAATTCAAATTTTGGTCACATTAGTATTTTTCTGCTGCATGATCAACTCGGTTTATCTCAGTCTTTGCCGTTACGTGTGAACCTCTCGGTTTTTTAAAATTAATTTAAGCAGCCCCTGAAAATTATCAGTCTATGAGATAGTTCTTAGAATTGTTTACACGTCCTACATACTGCATTCATACTCACAAAGAAAGAATACGGCTTTCTTATGAAGATAATTCGTGTTCATTCACGGTTGGCCTATCTCTTTGATCATTGTTAACGATATCATTTTAGAATTTGATTAACTAATCCTGATTAAAACTAAGTTTAAATTTGCGGTACAAACAACAACTTTTTGAATAGTCTCATGTCACAAACAAATTTATCTTGTTTTCGTAAACTTTTTAAAACGTCTTTGTTCTGTGTGAATCGATCTCGCTTATTTTCGATAAAAAATACTGGAAAACAAAATGAAGAAAAAAAGAAAGTGATTGTCCTTGGCGCAGGCTGGTAAGATTAATACATGGATGTATTCACAACTTGTTATTCTTTTGTTTATTTAGGGGCGGATTTCAGTTCATTCGATATCTTGATCGTAGCAAATATGATGTGACTTGTGTGAGTAGAAGAAGTTTTTAATAGTAAAACGTTCACTTTATCGTGTAAAGAGAGTCAATTATTAAAAGTTGTTTTTTTAGGTTTCTCCTCGTAATCATTTTCTATTTACACCATTATTACCGTCAACAACCGTTGGCACATTAGAATTTCGTTGTATTATTGAACCAGTTCGTGTATTAAAACATCTTCATTATTATCAAGCATCGTGTATTGAAATTAATACAAAATCAAATGAAATATCGTGTCTCGATTTTTTTAATCCTGAAAAACAATTTTCTTTGCCCTATGATTATCTTGTCTGCTCTGTAGGAGCAAAATCAAATACATTCAATATTCCTGGTGTTGATAAACATGCATTTATGTTAAAACAATTGTCAGATGCCAGAGCTATACGAAATCGGTTAATGGAATGTTTTGAACGTGCATCAAATCGATTTATATCCGATGAAGAAAGACAAGCATTAACAACATTCGTTATTGTTGGAGGAGGTAAGTGTTAAAAAAAAAATGTACGGATAACTTTTACTATTTTAACTTTTGAAATTTTGCGTAATTAATCCCGTTTGTCTTATATTAGTTTAATCATTCTAACAGAAATAGATGCAACATCATTTCTTCTACTTGTCTGTTGATAGGCCCTACATCAGTTGAATTTTCTGGTGAATTGTATGACTTTATGCGTGAAGATGTAGCAAAATGGGTGCGTGCTGAGTTTTAAGTTTCTACTTATTTATTGTTTCTTTTTTATTTTCATTCTAGTTTCCAGATGTGAAAACAAAAATTATCTTAATCGAAAGTACTGATCATATTCTCGGTTCATTTGATCATAATTTGTCTGATTATGCTATGCAAACTCTCCTATCACGTTCTGAAATTAAATTAATGACAAATACTTTCGTTAAAGAAGTAACATCAAATGAAGTTGTATTGGGTAACAACGAAACGATACCATGTGGCATTTGTGTATGGTCAACAGGTAAGATGTTCATTATATGTTTATCTATCACAAATACAGATTTTACAAGCCTATTTTTTGTATCTTTTTTAAACTTTGTCATGAATGTATAAAATCTGACTGGACAGAATGTTTTTTTGAGTTACTAGAAATGCAGAGAACTATGTGTTTGCTTATAACTCTGTTTTTACTAATTAAACAAATTCCTAACCGAGCTCGATGGAACTCACTATTAGAACAAATACAGGATAGTCATAAAAGAACACTTAGATCTCTTGGTTCATAGAAAATACTTCGCTATATTGGGAAGCAACAGTTTGACCCCTCCTTCTTTCGAATTGTGCACTTTTAACCTAAAGGCGAGCCTAACATTCCTGATCATAAAAATAGTGTTTTTCACAATATCAATGATTCAGGTGTCGGTTGTTGTTTCAATCAACGTTTCGATTTCATACACCGTAGAAAATAATCTAACTGTTAGTTTGAGTTTTTATTTTTATTAAAGGTCTCAGCCCGACCGATTTAACGTCACAATTACCATTTTATAAAGAAAAACGTTCTGGACGTATTTATACAAATGATTATCTACAAGTATTATCATCAAATGAGCAAAGTCCAATTCCCAATATATTTGCTGTTGGAGACTGTGCAACGCCTTTTCATCAATCATTGCCAGCTACTGCTCAAGTTGCTGCACAAGCATCAAAATATTTGGCAACAAGATTTAACAAAACTCGTTTAGATCTTATACAGGATTCAAAAGATGCATTTCATTTTAAAAATTTGGGCATGCTAGCATATCTTGGTGGATGGAGTGGTCTTGCCGATTTAAAATCAATAAAAAAATCTGGTTTTCTCTCATGGTTACTGTGGAGATCCGTATATTTAACACGTTTAGTTAGTTTAAAAAATCGAATACTTGTAGCGATGTTTTGGTTTAAAAGTTATTTTTTTGGCAGAGATATTTCGAGATTTTAATATTTTTGTTGCACAAACCATACATACATGTATCTAGTATTTTATAATCTAACGATAGTCTATTACTAAAGATATTTTTAATTGAAAGTAGATCATTCTATTTTTCTTTTCATATGAGTGTGTAAGAATAAGATTTGATACAATAACGAAAAGCTCGTTTGCACGTTGAACAAGAGGTAACTCATCATGTTAGATAGATTTTATGTAGTTTTTTTTCCTTTTGTATTTCTCTGAACGTATCTAGAGGAGTACGGCTTGTCGACGCCTACTCTGTTGATTTATAGTTGACTTAAGCAAGTATAGTATAGGATCTTTTATCATTATGTTTGATTCTTTTTTTTCTTCCTTTTCTTCCGTGAATTTATGACAGTTTTCAACAATTCTCAAGTATTATTTAGTATAACGATCAAGATTTGTTTAACTTTTGAAATTATTAATTAACGAGAGATGATTTCAGTGATTATTTGCTCTTGGTAGGATCTATCTCATAAAAAATTTGTTCTTAAGTATCATGATATGTTAAATGATGTATATTGTTACTAGTGTTTTTGAAAATGAATCTTTCTCAATGTAGATTAGACAAATTAACTATATATATGACATTTTTTTGGATGTAGAACATCGAAATAGAGTGGGAATCTTCTTAATTAGAGCAAACATCTTTAAACAGAAGCATTTGTATAGTCATACTTCAGATTATACCATTCTACTCTAACTAGACTACATATTGCGAACGATATATTTTTGCCGTGGATTTTTTTTCTGTAGACGTTAGATTGTGTTAACTAACATACTGACTTCGCAGTTACAGTCATTCAGATATTAGATAGAAAATACAGCAAACATTTTTAACTACAAAGAAATTTAATTGAACGAGAAAAGAAATACATTTTCAGATTGATTGTGAAAATCAACTGGAAGTTGAGAATGAATCTCAGTTTCGTAATCTGACTATTAATAAAGCTTTTAGAAATCTTTAGGAGAATGTTGAAATATCAGTTGAGTGTTACATCTAATTTAAAATAATTGTTTGTCAAATACGATATCTCATTAGTGATATCAAAAAATAGATAAATTTTTAAGAAATTCTTTTTTATCTGTACAAGTTAACACAAATAGTTTATCGACAAGTTTTCATTTAAAATCTATTTATTCAATGCATTATTTTATCTTCTGATTTGAAATATTGACTTGAATAAAATTAATAATGATTAAATAATGAATTGTTAGTAGAAAATATTATTGAACCTATTTTTTGTGTCAAAAATCAGAAATTATACTTCGTTATCGTTGTATTTTACTGTAGACCATTGCCTTACAACTTGTCCGAAAGCATGAGAGAGAGAGAGGGAGAGAGTTACTCATAGTTATCAAAATAGATACTTGTACGACAGACTAACGTAAAAGTGAAAATCCCATTACTAAAATTTCAGTTTTTAAGTGGCAATGAGTCTGTTAACTTTCTTATAGATTCATTGAGTGGATAATATGTACAATCTTATGTACGATGATCATGTTTTTATATGTTTTAGATGGTGTAAAATATACTCTATTATTGTTTATTTCTTCAACAAGTTATTGTTGTGTTTTTTTATCTTAATAAATGCGACATTTCAACCGGTGATGATTATTGAACAACAGTGTTTTCTATTTTTATTCTTGTTCTTTTCTTATTGTAACTGTCGTATTGAATTAGACGTACCAACTCATAGTTCATTTTTGCTTCATGATCAATCTTCTTCATCATCGTCAACATCTTTCACGCATCCATCACATTTGAATCGTGATGTTTTAATTAGTTTTGTTCAAAGTGCTCCAAATTTTATTATTCGAGCATTATACCAACAACTCAATGTTGAACAACGGTTAATTGTTGATAAACATACCAGCAGCAGTAGTACTAGACTAAAAAAACAACAACAACAACAATCTGTGCCTGACACTGAACCAATTATTCGTTCCTATATCTTAACAGAAACATATAATCGTTCAATACCATTTATTCGCGTTCTGATAGCTTCTACTCAACCTCATTTACATCAGATAAAACCATTTTGTGCCGTTGTGAGTGCAGTGAATGACCATCACTTTTATGGAATAAGTTCATGTTATATTCAACCAAAATTAGGTTATTGTCTCGTTACATTACCGACTATGAAAACAAATTGGAATTCAAATTATACAAAAACTATGCAACTCTACTTGAAAGTAAGTGTATTTTATATCACATTCTATTACTCTAAAAACGCCCATAATCAATATTAACATTCAATAGTGTCTTTCAAGTGTATTTTCTTTCGTTCTTTCGTTATACAATGATAAAAGTTAACCAAATGTCGTATGAACCTAGGAATGATTCGATGCTTCTTCAATAAATTCATGAAATGTTTCTATCTCGTGGACATGGATGTTTCACAAACATCGATACAAATTCAAATGAAAATTCACTGTTTATATCTTTAGCTTCATCATGTGACATATCAAAATGAATGTTTATCTGATCATACTCCAAAACAAGAACATTTTCATTCTGAACAACGTATTGGTCAAGTTGAGTATCTGACGGACAATATTGTTTATGATACACTCACCACACACTTATCATTAATTACAATTGATTATCCAACAGGATTATTTTATCCAAATTGGCTATTCGATTTAAAAATAAAATTAAAATTCAACAAATCTTTAAAATTTCTAACTATAAGGTAATGCTTCTTTTTTTCTTTAAATATTACGGAGATGTGTACTTTAGTTGAAACTGCTGTTGAAATCCGGTTTGAACTGACTGATACAGCCATCCATGAGCAGGGACTGGTATTTAGTAATTTTTTATTAAGTTATTTAGATGTTATCAGACTTTGTGAAAGGATTCTTGTAATTGAGTGGCAGTGAACGTAATTGAAACGAGTTCAATGTCTTTCTAGGCTGACTTTACGATGTCAAATGTAAATTATAAGGGCAACAATCTTTGTTTAAAATTTTGAAAACATAATATAAATACGGCTTATGCAAAATAACTCAGAATTGACAAAAGAGGTGAAGAATATATTCATTTCCTCTGGCGTATGTCGCAGAAAAATTCTTTAATTAGTAAAATTTTTCAGAAAAGTTTTAGCAAAATAGAATTTTTGTTGAAAAATAACTGCAGAAGAAAATATTCTGATACTGTTGAGAAAGTTTTTAGAAATTTTTCTGTAGAAGAAAGTTTCTTACGAGTAGATTCTGCACTTCTCACTGATAAGTTAAGATATTTATAGTAGAATGCGGTTCCACGAGAAGTTATTGTAATTAATTAGTTAAATTTGTTTACTATTTCATAGTTAATGTTTGTTTTTTAATAATGGATCAATAACAGTTTGCCAGTCTTCTAAAAGCCATTCATCCTCATCAACATAAACGCCGTTTAATAGAAATACCGGCGTACCGCTTATACCTCGACTACACACGTATTTCCATGCAATACGAGTTTCACCATTCGCATGGTTATTATTTATACCTCTTATAAACTGATCTCGTTTGATAATCCCATTACGTTCAACAAAATCGGCCATAGATTCTATTACTTGATTCATTGTCATACTACGTGTATTAAGATGTCTCCATTGTTCTTGTTCTTGATACATCATAGTGATGTATGTATAAATTGATGTTAGGTTATGATTAGTTAAATTGGCGACAAGATGTAAACCTTGACTAGCCAAAAAAGAGTTTGTAAAATAAGGCAATGGAAATGTATGAAAAATAAAATGAATACGAGAATCGTAGTGCGATAATAGTTGAAGAACAGTTGGCCACGTAAATTGACATACAGGACATAATAAATCAAAATAAGCATCTGGAAATAGAACAAAAATTGACCACTATCGATTCCAAAAAAGGATGAACGCAAAAAGTGGAAACCGCAAGATAACGATCTATGGAAGAATAAAACAAAATTCTTCACCTTCTGATAGTATAATTTGTCCTCTATTCTGAGTTCGTTGGTGCGATAAGGAAAAACAACAGATTTTTTTATTTTCACATGTGAGGTTGACTTCCACTAGACTGGACTAGTCTAGTGGATTAAATACAATAAATCAAATTGAAATTTTTTGTAAAACTAGATTTTCACCTGTTTTGGAAAACAAACGTTGTCGTGAGACTCGGATTGCGCGATAACTTACGTCTCACTCACTTTTAAAGTTACTACAAGTGTCGAGAATCATTTTCACAATTCTGAGTATATTCCATGCCACGTCAGTTGTAGATCTGAAACTTGCATAGATCACCGGAGGACAGTCCAGTAGAAGTCAAAACCAGTCGGACAAGACATCTTACCAGAAGGTGGTAAAATTCATTTAATTTTTCTATGAAACGTTGTGCCTCCGATTTTCTTTGTCAGCGGCATTGCCGCATGCCTTTGCCACTTTTCCATCGAAAGTTATTCAAACAACAATCATCTCTACTGTATTTTCAAATGAGTTGGAATGGATGTGAGTAATAAATACGTTCGTAAGCGAGAGAAGCCAGGCGTACTCGACATACCTAAAACAACACTGGCATTAGCCGGCCCATATTTGAAACCATTTCCATCTGGACGACTAGGAATTGGGATTTGTTGACAATAACAGGATGATATTAAGGATATTAATAAAATGTAAAACATAATTTCGGTTGCTTTCATCATCTTAAACGAAATAGTATATTTTTGATGTAATAAAATATTTTTATCGATCAACATTAGTTATTTCCAATTATATCTTACTTTGAAGGTTAATCCTTGGTAAAATAGGAATTATTTTGAGTGATAAAGATTGCGATTGTCTAATCGAGATAAATTTCACATATAGTGATTCATATTGTTTAGTTTTTATCTATTGTGACTGTACGTTCTATCAGATGTAAAGCTATAAGCGTGCGTATTAATGTTGATTATCTAGCTCCTTTTTGACTAGAATAATACCATGTATAGTGGAACAAGAGAAAATAACAAATAAAACGACTAAATTTAGCATCGCTTTGAAAAAGCAGCATAGGTTATTTTGCAATGCAGTTTGATATCTTTTTATATCTGTGACATTAAACTGAATTTTAATGAGCTATCATCAAACTGCCAACGCTTTGACCTAACTTCAATCCATCACGTTATCGTCAAGCATTAAGTAAAACAAATTCAGTGTACATAATCTGGCTATTTGAATCCTTCGAGGATTTAAAGCAGCGAAAATATAGTTTATACCCAAGTGTTCAATCTCGAATGAAAACAAACATTCCAATGAGAATTAATATGGCCGATCACCTATACTCCAGTTAACTCTAACGAGGGAACCTATGGAGGTGATACCCTCCATTTTCCATGATTTATACATCAATCGATAGAGTATATTGAGCTGACTCTAAAAGGATTCATCCTCATGATGCTTTGTTCAAAAGTTATAGCATTTTTTCGTTTTCAAATACTCTGGGGTTCGAAAACAGTAAAAATTCAATAACTCAGTCAAAACACGGTACGAAAGGCCGTTTTCTGTAGTAGTGCTAGATGTCTATTATAATCATAGGAAGTGTCAGCTGAGTTATAGAGAGTTCAGCAAAGTTTTGGCTGCGTTATTGAATTTTTACTGTTTTCGAGCCCCAAAGGGCTTGAAAACGAAAAAATGCCATAACTTTTGCTCAAAGCACCGTGGGGATGAGTTCTTTTAGGGTTTTTGATAGCTCGATATACTCTATCGATTGATGAATAAATCATAGAAAAAGGAGGGTATCACCCACAGTGGGCGTTTTTCTATACACTAGGTGGACATGTGGTTTTTTTAATTCAGAAAGAGGCTTTTTTGCTCAATGCTACTTTATTATGTTTCTAATGTTTTTATAAATTAAAAAAACCCGAATTTGGAAAAAAAACTTTTTGGACGAAAAATATCTGAGGGGGAACGTTCACCCTAAATTTTTGTCGAATTTTTCTCAAAAATGCTTCTTAGACATATCAGTCGACGCAATTTTTGACGCAGAATTCAAATATATATAAACTATTCAAGTAAAGTAACATACAAGGATAGAAAAGTCCAAATTACCTCAAAAACAAAGGGTTTTTAGAAAACCTGTAATTATCGGCAGAAAAAGCTGTGAGATTTTGTGAGTATACTACAGATACAGGATATACTAAGGAACATTTTGGTGAAAAAATAAGTAAGATTACCCTTCGCTAAATCGCGCGTTTCGATTATATTATACACGTGTGTTTTTCTAGCGTTTTTCTTATATGTTTTCTCTTTCTCGAATAATTTCATAAGGAAAAGTCATAGAATAAAAAAATTTACGCCATTCGATAGCGCATTTAACGCTGTATATTTGGTACTACTTACATCACAGAAAGCTCACTTTCGATTTTCGACCAAATGTCTGCCTATAGGCCCACTGTGTTATGATTACCTCGATAGGTGTCTCTCGTAAGATTTCACAGGTTATATCATAGTAGTTCTGCGCGCTAACAGAAAATAATCCAATATCATACTTTAACGACTCAAAGGGAAAGTCTCGCTTGATTCTAATCTTTATTGAATACTCGAAGCTATGCACTTATGAATAAATCTAACATTCTGCTAGTAATTTATCAGGATGCAAAGCGGGTCATAATACATAATGCTATAGGGTTTTAGTACGAAATAAGCAGAATGTTTTTCAGGAAGAATATTTGTTCTTCTCAAATAAGATTTGACCAAGGGGGGAAAAGCACTTTTTATGGATAGCACTTTTTAGCACCTTTCAGCACTTAGTAGCACTTTTCAGCACTTAAAAATTCAAGATGGCAGATAAGGCTGTGTGTTCGAATCCCACGATTTTCTTTATTTTTTTTCAAACTTTTCCTTTAATAAAGTGGAGAAAGTTCTTGAACTTCAATAAAAAAACACATTGTTTATTCTTGTTGTCCAGATTCAATGACACGTTTCAGTCTATCACTGGATAAATGCATTTTATTCTGTTAGCAGCCAACACGCTGATTGTTTGTGCAAGTATTTCCATTTGTCACCAATCTTGACATGAAAATAAGAACTTGATCGTTTTGGATTGATTTTGTCAAACACTCGGATACCAGAAAATGTTGCTCTTTGTGTTTTAGATAAATCTCTCGATAAAACATATTCATCATCGTCTTCATTTGACAAATTATCTTCACTAGAATGACCTTGATCATCTGTTTCATCGTCCCAGCAATTATCCACTAAACCTTCTTCGTCTCCATTTTCTGAACTGGAGTTTTCTATCTCAGAGCTACTCGCTCCGATATCGTCTATTGTTTTTGAGTATCATTGATTATTGGATTTTTTGACTTTTTAGAGAATATACTGAGAACATCTTCTACATTTGTTGCTTGAACGTCGTTTGCTGTATCGAGAAGTTGAAATTGTAAAATTTTTCTAATATGTTCTCCATATTCTTGCTCCACAAACATTAGAAACTGATCAGGTTTTAAACCAAAAATATCATCTGGCAAAGTGCCAGAAGTAGAACTTGATGTAGTCATAAAAGAAATTCTACTAAAGGAAGAGAATCCCAGAAATCAAAATAACGAGAAGAGAAAAGATAGATCAAGCATTTTCTGAAGAACAAAACTGAAATGGATTCTCTGTTTTCAAAGACATTTCTCTTGAATTCACAAAAAAAAAGATGAATACAGATTCCGTATGAAAAAAGTAATTGAAATCCAACGAGAACAAAACAAAAATTAAAAAAAAAAGTGATTTAGGGTAGATTCGAACATCTGACCTTCCACCATCTTGAATATTAAGAAGCACAAACTCTCACACTCGGCTATTTTATAGCGTTCGGCACTTTTCGGCACTTTTTTCAGCACTAGTGCTGCTTTTTCCCCCTTGGATTTGACTGTTCGTGAAGAAGATAAACTACTAGAAATAAAATAAAGATTAAATAAGTCGACACCATTGTGTAAAGAAGCTATAAGATATTTATTTGATGTTTCAGATGTCATGTTCCTGGTGAATTTTCCATTCAATCTATTCAAACGTCAATCCTAACACTATCAAGTTATTATTTAAATATTACTCATGAGCCAATAAGTCGTTCGATGCGTGAAATTAATTTTAATATTACGATAACACAAACATTTGACTCAGACGAAAATGATCAACTCCTAGTTGATTTAGCCACCGTTGAATTTTTAATTGATCAAAATCTCTATCAATCGCATAATAATTCTGTATTTTACCTACCAATTGATTGGTTTGTCATTTTGCCATCATCTACAAATGATTTGTTATTAAATGAAACTCAAGATGATGTACCGATACTTCGTGTACCCATACAAATACAAATTGATGATATACAAACGATCATCGCTGTCACAGATACCACATTGGCATTCAATACCGCTGTATTATCATCAACAACCGTCCAATATCCATTACGAATATTGAGTATGAATTATTCAGGTTTTATTGAAGATCAAATTCAAGCTATATGTTACACAGATTCTCCACATCTCCAAGTTGATCGATATTGTACAAATTATTATTTTTCTGGTCATGAAAGAGGTTGGAGTGGCACGAGTACTAGTTCAAAAATTATCTATAAATACGGAAAATATTTAAAATATTTGGATATTCGTGTCTATATGCCAGATAAACCGTTACGATTAGAATTAAGTGATCAAGTTCTAAGTAGAATACATGGATGGTTTGTGAAAGATAGAGGATTAAATTTGAAAGAACATCAGTATAAAGTAGGAAACCAACAGCATCAAATCAAAACTACATATAACAATATTGATGTTAGCGACGATGATGATGAGAATACACGATGTTATGCCGTTTATCAGCAAGCAATGATCGATGTTTACACAAAATTTTATACAGTGAATGAAGGTACGTTCAAATATGAAGCCAATGAAAGAGACTTTGCTGAGACGCTGCGTATTCTTTTATTCCATTTAGCTGGTGAACGTGTGTACCTTTTCAATGATTTGGATGTCTTGGTAACATCATTTGTTCGTCTTTACATGGAAACAGATGATAATCAAATTGCCATGATTAAAGATGGAAAAGTGGTTGGTATTGGACCAGGAAAGACAAATGTTAAAGTATGTGATACATGACAAATTTTTCTATCGATGTAACCCTTCTCGACGAATTCTAAAGAAACCGAAGAAAAAAGATTTTGAATAACTTTACCCATCTCTTGAAAAATTAATAAAAGAAAATTAACGTATTTCTCTATAACTAATCGAATCCAGTTCCCTAAACTTAATCAGATCACAGTTTCACATAAATCATGGATGTATAATGATATGCTATTGTTTTTTCTCTTATGTTTAGGTATATTCATTGTCGAATAAACTCCTATTGGGTTCATGTGCAGTGATCGTTGATAATTCTGATCTTATTCAAATAAAAAGTGTATCATTTAACGTTGTTACAGGAATTGATTTACAAATTAATTTAGTTGAACAAATATCACCTCATACATATCGTGTACAAGCAAAAGCGATACTTAATCGACTTATCGATGACAGCGATAAAGTAAGACATCTTTTTTTTTGTTGCCTATAGCCATACATCTTAGCTTTGGTTTAAGCTATTTATTCAGAAGTGAATGAATATACCTAACAACTCTTCTTCTAATGCGCCGAAGCATTACATAGTTGAAGAGTCGTTTAACATGATGTTTTCCTGATCGTACAGTAAATATATAACAAGAAGAATTAAGAAATAATAAAAAAAGTGAAGGAAAAGAAGGAAGGTCGGTGGGAATATTCGTGCTGTCTCAATCGTATATTGTATTATAAGCTTATAAAGATCTTTATACAATTCGAAATCTAGATTCTTTCGTAGTAGTAGTAAATTTAGGTCAATGTTACAGTTCGAATCACGTACTTTTATTTGTTTAAACAGATTTGCTCTAGCCAACGATAGCTATGACAAGAAAGGAAATAATGTTTTACCGTCTTGGATTCGCCACACTCGCAAAACTCCGTATTGGAAATCCGATGTCGTTTAAGCAGATTATTATTCAAAACCGAAAAGTCCACTCTCAGATTAAGAGCCATATCTGCCTTTCTATGTACAGGCGTTCTGCTTTTAACGAGTTTAAAATGTTATAACAAATCTTTTGCAAACGCTTTACACGTAAGAACTTTCCTCAGCTGGGAGAGGAGAATGTTCCATATCTTGATTGTATATGGAAAAAAGGAAGACAACCAAATGTACAAATCTTTTGTTTTCCCCATATTAACTTACACGTGTGCCGTCTACATAAATAAACATAACATTCATATATTCGATAAGCTACAGTAAAATGCTATGTAAATGCCAGATGACGACGTTAAACTGAGTCCAATGTCATCAATATTAAGAAAAGTAAGGGGCCTAACACGGAACATCTTAGCTTTCAGAAAAGGCTGACTCTTTTATTGTAATTAAGCTGAGAAAAATAGATCAGTGACGACTGTTGAGTTGTTCGAGAGTTACGGGTGGTATAAATGGAGTTGTTTGTAAGATACAATGTTTTAAACATCGTAATATCTACGACGTTTGAATCTGTTTGAAACTAAAGTAGACACTTAAATCTATGCAATGGTTGACTCTATCGAACATGATCTTTCAAAGAATCATCGATTTGCATCGAATATTCTATTGTCTAGTGGTTCTGATATTACTCCTGGTCATTTCGTTTCATTGTTCTCTACGACTCCCACTGATATTGAATAACTTCCGAAATAGAACGGATCACATCACAGAGGAATACTAAAATCGAAAGATCAGCTCGTCTAAAATGATAAATAACTCAAATGAATATATCAAACGAGTTTATTGATTTTAGAACTTTTTCTAATTTGAAATTAGATTTATGAATTCTGCTATTTACAAACGTTGTGATGAAGCTGTGCGCTCTTTCGACCGGAATAATTGACGAGTTATTGACCGAGTTTCGATAGAATATCGACTGTTAGTTCGAGAGTTAAGAAAATGAAATTCAAACGTGATCCAAGGGGATTGCGTGACGTTCCTTAAAAGAAATTTCATTTTAATGAAAGTCCCGGTACTTTCATTAAAATGTCTCCTGCAAAGTGACTGTGACCTGAAGGTTTTGATGGCACAAGAATTTCATTAAAAATTTTAATGAACTTCTTTTTAATGAAACTTCGATATCCCATCCAAGGATCGAGGGCCTGTTTCTTAAAAAAATTTAAGTAGAAAATCTTACTTAAGTCAAAAAAGACAGACTTTTTTTGACTTAAGTTTGACTTAAGTCAGATTTTCTACTTAAGTTTGACTTAAGTCAGATTTTCTACTTAAGTTTTTTAAGAAACAGGGGCCGGGTAAAAAGTCATGCACATTCTGAAAATTGACAGTTCAGATATATACAACGGCAAATATTTCATTTTTGAAAGAAAATTTGATTTTGAAGAATCAACAATATTTTTTGTTTATTTTTATTGTTGTATTTCATTTTAGTTTGGTCATTTGCATATTGTTTTGAATTATTCTGACAATACTTCAATTCCGTTAGATCTCATATCTCGCAATCAATATGAACTCGACGTATTTCTTACTAGTGATCCATCTCAATTGCGTCCAATATTACGTGTTGAACAATCACTTGATTCTAATTGGCAACATTTACGTATTCGTCCATTAGCTATCGGTCATACTTATTTATTAGGTAAAATTAAATTTGGAAATGAACAATGTACAGATATGAATGCTCTTATTCAACGAGATTTATCATGTGAAATTATTGTCTCATCAATGAATAGTAAATCTCGACAAAAAGATGATCCAACATCTGGTAGTTTAAAACAAAGAACACAAATAGTAGCTAAAACACAATATCAAGAAAATGAATATGTTTTAATGAAAGATGATAATAATAAAAAACAACAAAAAACACAACGATTTATATTTGGTATTACAGCTGTACAATTTTCATTATATATTTTATTTGGAATATTTATTCTATTATTAGCTGGTCTTACATTTCATTTTTTTGTCTATATTAGACATAATCAAAAACGACGTAGAAATAGTACAACAGGTCAACGTCGAGCTCAAAGTGGCGCTGAAGATGTTAATAATGATTGGATATTTTTAGATAAAAATTCTCTAGAATTACCTGAAAGACATCGTCCAACACCAAATTTTATTCAATCAACATCACCTGAACTTAATCTAATAAATAATCCACTTGAAAATAGAACATCATATCCATCATTAAAATATCCTACAAATTCAAATTCATGGCCATCATCGAATAATAATGTAAAAGAATATGATAATGATGACGATCATCACGAATATTATAGTAGACCAAAGAAAATGAATAAAATGAATAATTATTATGATCGACTCGCATCATATCCTTCTCCATGGTTAACACACGGGATGACATATGAAGAAACGATCAATTATTTTGATAATTTAAAAGAATCTCATGCATAATTTTATGTATTTTATATCGCCAGATCATTTATCTTTTTCCTTTTGAATGACAAGAAGTTTAGACAACTAAAACAGACGTTTCCATTAGCTGAAGTAACAGTAACAGTTATTTATTCTCCTATCAATTTTTAAACTAAAAAAGTTTATTATTATTCTTTTTTTGTTCTTCTTGTTTTTCATAATCCGGTGCACAAAAATCAGGCCTTATTTTTATTTTTGTTTTAACAGTAACATAACAATTTTATCAGTTTTTTTCATATTAGAAGAATCTCAATGTTTCATTATTTTATGTAAATCTCTAAATCATTTTTTATCTAGTCGATCATATTCAGTGGAAATAATCTCTGTATGTAATGGATATTCATTTTTGTTTTTCTTTTCTTTCTATTGTTGTTTTTGTGAGACGTATTGTAACAGTGAATTATTTTGTATGTCATTAAACAAATTATTTGTTATTTTAAATTTGTTGAAATAACTTGTCTTTTAAAGTGTGTTTTCTCTCTCTTTCTCTCTCTCTCTCTATTTTTACGTTTGCTCAATATTAAAAATGCATTTCTTAATATTATACTCAACTATAATTCATTTAAATCAGATTTTTTTTCTTTTAAAAGTCAAAATAAACACAATTTTGTGTAAAATAGAATACATAGTCATTACTACATAATTTGCAATTAAATTAATAATATTCACTCATGTGAACTCTCGACTTTGTATTTCATTTTATATGTTTATTTTTTCTTTTGTCTTGAGCTTTTTAAACGTATTGTAGAATTGTTTATTGTAATCTCATATAATAAAATTTAAATGTTAAAATATAGGCTAAGGTCAAACGGTATATGGAGAAAAAAATTTAGTATAAAGTTGGTAAGTGAATGTTTTGTAAACCATAAAACTTAGTCATACATTGTCACTTGTCTAAAAATGAAAATTGTGTCCTATAGACAATTTAAAATGAACTTTAAAAATTAAAATTGTCTATTATGAATGTAGAAATGATTGTATTTTATTTATTACCGTCGGCTAAATAGAATCAGTTAGACGTATTAGTAAAATTGACTACTTTCTTATTAAAAAAAACAAAACATTTCAATTGTTCATCGAGTTTTTTTTTATTTTTATTGATCTATTGATGTATTTAGTGATATGTCTATTTCTTTTCTTTGTTCTCTTTGTGCACAAAAAATTTATATGTTTTGTAGTTATGTGATGATGAAAAAAGAAAAATGACTCTAACAGTTTCCATGCATAGGATGATTCAAAAACTAATGCTATAAATTAGAGAGTAGTCATTCGATGGTAAGGTATAATAAACAAATAAGATTTTCCTATAATCATTGAACTTATGAAGTTGTACTTTTATATTCATAACATGTTACATAAAAGAATAAATATAAAATTTTCTACGTATTACTCGATATCAACATCGAATAAAAGTTACACGATGTTGTCATCATTTTTGAATAATACCGTCAACACATGTATAGGTAAAACGGTGAATTTTTTCTTGAAAAATAAATTTTATATAGAAATAATTTGATTTAAAATTGACTATTATTTTAATTAAATAATGAATCAGCCTCGTATGTTTTGTGTTAAATTACAACTTCATTTTGGTGGTGATATACAAGAAATCAATGTACCAGCGTATAATGGAGCAGAACCAACCGTATTCGATTTAATGAATACTATTGAACGAGATTTTCGTGTTCCAAAAGCGCTACAAACACTTGTATTTTCCGGACAAGATTTACATCAATATCCAAATGAACCATTAAGCCGTTTTGGTATTAAAAATTTAGCAACAATTCGATTGGTTGGACGAATAGCACCGCCTAATATGATTAATCAAATTAATGCCGAACTAGGTGGAGGATATAATAGTAATCCTTATTATCAACAATCATCATATGCACACAACAATTATCAACAGCAAGCACAATCATCGAATGATAACCACGGATTATATACGAATGAGCCATTGACAATGTCTAAATATTATACTGAAGAACAAAATATACCTTATTATCAAGAACAAAAGATGTACCAAGATTCAACTAATCAAAAACCAGCCACACCTAAAACGCCAAATCCATGGACACCAGCTCAAGGAGGACCATCAAGGGCAACACAAGCTACACAATATGATCCACCAACACAAGATGAATAACTACAACAACAGAAACAATTCGAATAAAAAACTTACATTTCTTTTTCTCTGGTAATGACAGCATTCGCTAGAATTTTGAGATCAGCGTAACTTTTAGAAATTATAAATTCTACTATTCTAATATTTAAGAAGAAAGCTGCACTATCAGTACTGAAAGAAAAACAGATTATTATATACTCAAAATACCAAGGATCGCAGTCTTTTCTTGAAAAATAAAATTGACAGAATGAAGCATTTTAATCCAAAGCCGATTTACGCTTCACTCCTTTTTCTTGTAACCAGCATAGGGGATTATTATATCAGGATATGCATACGTACGTACGTAGAGAATTATCATATAAAATATGATGAAAGTTTTTTGTTGACAGAATCAGTCTCATACAAAACTAGAATGATAAAAAGTTTTCTGGTATGTCTTTTCGCTAAGAAATTAAGGTTTATCAAAACCTTAGTGTTTCTGAATTCAACAGCAAGCGCTGATCCGATCAAATTACTGGTGTCTTAATTTTTTTTATATTAAACATTTCTTGAAGAGCGAAGTCCTCTTTGAAAGTTTTATCCTACTTACGGACATCGCTTGGTCTAGTTTTTTTGTCTATTGTGTTTTCGAAAAAAAGAAACACTTCTTAATCAAGTCCAAGGTCAACTAGTATGCTTATATTTTGTATAAAATATCTCTTTCTTTTCCCGGATGACCTGTGTGAAAAGGTAGTCATAGGAACAATTCGAACTAGACAGTAGTAGCGACAGCTCGTCTTGATCTCAGAGGATTCGTATGTTTTAAGGACCCTGGTATAATATTCACTAATTTACTTTATATTAAATTAAAAATCGAAATTTTTATCCTCCTTATATCTTGTTACGTTCTGTACTATTGACGTCATTACCCATTTTTTCCATATGTTTCTCGTATGTTCAACTATATGTAAATCATATGAAGATTGAATTGAAGTTGGCCGTGTGTGCAGATGATGAAAACATTAGAATGGATTTCAACATTTTTACGTGAAGAAACATTAGCATGGTATCTTAAGAATATAGAATGACAAAAATTTTAAGTAAAAATTAAGATAAAATTAGTGACATTATCTTAAAATAAATTCAAGGTCTATAATGTTGAAAAAATAAGTTTTAATGTACGATGCAATTGTATTTTTAATTAGCTCTTGAAAAAAGATTTCTTTCTCTTGTTGAATTATTTTGTTCAACTGAACGCTGAGAATGGTATACCCGTCGTCTGGTGTGCGTATTACACTAAAAATAATACGTTGCGTAACAGGTAAGGTTGTTTGATGGAAAGTTTTTACCATTTTCACTGCAAGCCTTATGGTCTCGAATTGCTCATCTATTTCACTATTCCAGCTCTCGTACTGAGCTCGAAGGAATGTTATATACCTATCAATATTTGACGTTCAACAGTTTCCAATGAAATCAGCACTTCGTCCCCATGCTTGGGGATAATACGACGATTAATGAATGGTGCAACTTATTTTTTCAGTAAAACTGCATTTTTCTGATCTGTTACTATAATCTCAAATTTTTGTTTCTCACTGATTGTCCCAAAAGCTAAAGAAATTTAAACAGAAAATTAGTCAAGTCAAGAATCTCTTTTTCTTATTTGTATACAAGTATGTTGAGAGTATCTCAGCAGAAGAACAGTTGCAGATTACAACAAACTCTGCTGTGTTTGTAAATATATTTAAGACGAATCAAATTTTTGCTTTTGGTTTTAGATACTCTGCTGCTTTATTTATTTAACGAAACTTGCCGCCGTATTAGAATTTCTCTAAACTACAGTTTTTAAGCATAGTCTATGTATGCACCTTAGTCAGTTCAGCTTACAAACTAACCGTAGGAAAATGTGAATGTGAGGTATCTGAGATTTGAACATGTCGGCGTGCAAAAATAGTCTGAGTACTAGTATTGAGTTCGAAAGTATTTATGCAGAAAATTGTCTGAACAAGAAATTCAATCAGAAATCTCAAAAGTGTAAAAACTTTGAGATTTCTTCAGGGAACAAATATATGATCTATAGGATACATTTAGTATAAAAAACCTAGTTAAGTGATGTCGTGGTCGTGGATAGCGGCGCTCGTGCTTTCTGTTTAAAAGCAACATGATTTAAAATACGGGCCGTAAAAAGACTGTATATGTGCTATATCTAGAAAAAGGATTAAAACTCACCTCTTTCTGCGTTGTCGTGCTTCCATAAAATACTTTGGTCGCCGTCGCCAGTTTAATTATTTGATAGAAACTTTCCTGGCCACCAAAAAATACATTGGGATTTTTACTCCAAAAGTCTATTAGACGAATGAAAAATTGTTTTTTCTGACCAAAAATTTGCCAGATTGGTATCAGCTCATTATATTTAATTTATTCTTCACGTACAAAAATCAGCAACAGTTTCAACCCATTTATCAGGAGCGTTGACAAAACGTGTATCGCCACCTATCGCTTTAAACTTTTTCTTTGCAGTTTCTTTATGCGAAATATACTTTTCACTTTTACCTTCGTCATGTGCGGCACCAATATCTATTGTCTGTCCGAAATCAATTGCTATTTTAAAGTCAGCAATATTTTTTTCTTCAGTTTCATCGATCTCACCGTTGACTTTCTTATAGTATATGTAATAAATCTGTCCACCGAATGTAACACGTTTAGCTAACCCATGACCATATTTATTAAAAAGTTGTCGAAGTTGCTCTTGAGCAGTGGTAGCCGATGAATTTAATGCTTCTTCTATTTCATTTCGAAATTTTATTGTAGGTTGGATGCAATCAACATCGAATTCAAATATGGCTCTATCATAGTTATACATACATGTTATATAAAGGTCTTTCTTAACATTTGTTGATGCTTTACGCTCTTCGTTTTGATATTGAAGCAAGAATGATACAAACGGTGCCTTAAGATGTAAATCAGTGTATTTGTTTCGACCATAATGTTGATGCTGTTCAGTATAGCTCACAATAGCTTCGATATACGCATTATCACTGACATTATATTTCGGAGTCCAGTTCTCTTTCAACTCGATAGCATATTCGAGACTCGCACACGGTACTGCACTGCTAAAACATCGTCCTTTAAGTAAATTATTGTTTTTAATAATTACTTCTTTGCATTGTTCCGAAGTCAGTTGTGTCGCATGCATTATGTCGCCTGATGATGTTGAAATAGATGGTATGCCCTGAATTATTGATTCACGTTGTTGATCTACAGTTATCGAAGAAAATTCGGTATATTTTGTTTCGATTTCCTTGACGTAAAGTTTGAAGACTCTTAGAATAATCAATAGGAAAGGTTACTATTTTTTTACCGTCAATCGTTATGTATAGTGCTTGTGATCTAGCGCTAGAGGATGCCATTGGAAGCTATAAAAGATCAGATATAAGAAGATTAGAAAAGAGTGTCAGAGGATCTCTTTACCGTGAGATTAAGGAAGCTTAAGGAATTTTATTTATTTCAAAACTAAATTATAGGGTTCCGAATTAACAAAGGTGTCTTTTTCTACCTTTTTACTCAACAGGTCTGTAACATGAGTAAGTTTTCAATTTTTACAGTCTGAAGGGCCGAACAGATTTTGATAAATTTCAGTACTTAAGGGTTCTGAGCGATGGAGTAGGAATTTCAGAAAACCAAGGTTTTTCACTCATCCATTTAAAACGGTCATTCGATAGAGCATCCTTTAATGTGCATAAAAACAAAGTTTCCCAGCAACCGATAGAATATAAGTGGAGAAAATCGATTTTCACTCAATCCTATCCAATGCACGGAGTTCTCGATTTTTCTAAACGTTTTGGAAATCATGCTTTTGGAATTTACTGAGCTTTTTTCTAGGCTTAGTGACCATTTTGACCGAGAAGACAGATCTAAAACCCAGAATGGCAGATGACTCTGTAGGTTGTACTGATTAAGTTAGCCATAACACAAAAAAGCTAGCACACTGTTCCGAAAAATCTAATTGCTATTGAACACATAAGAATTAGATCATAGATACTCGGTAATAGAATATCTATGATCCAATCCTTATAGATATTCGTAATCGGGAATCTTTCTTCTTTAAAATGACGCAAAAACTACTCGATTTGAGCATATAGTTTTTCAACTAGACGTGTTTCTTTTGAACGAACAAAAGTTCTCGGACGGTACTCAAATTGTAATGAGCTAACCATCCACATCCACCTCTTTGGAGAACTCAAAATTAGATCAAAATGTTCATTACCATGTCCTACATCTATAGTGCATGCGGTTTTTCGACAGGACTTAGAGATTGGTTTTGCAGAAAACCCTGGTTTTTCAGGCAAAATCTATTTTACTTATTTCAGAAGTATTTTTAACGAAAACTAAGGTCATATTTGGAATCAACGCATAAAACTGCATTGGATGACATATAATTAGTCATTTTCTTAAGAAAAAATTTAGGACAAGGGTCCCCCCCCCAGGGATTTTTCGTCTAAAAAATTGGTTTCCCAAATTCCTATGTTTTAATTTATAATAACCTTCAAACGCAATAAAGTAGTATTGAGCAAAAATAATCGCTTTCCGAGTTAAAAAAACCACATGTCCGCCTGGTATATAGAAGAATGCCCACTGTAATACGAAAATAGAATCTATTTCAACATTCATATATGAAGAAGATATATCTACAATAGTATTACGAACGTAATAGTTATCTAACGAGATCACTATGACATCGACTCAGAAAAAAATTGATCGAATCAAATTTGATTCAATTTCTATTGCATCTAATATATATTATAGATCGTAGTTTGGATTATAGAGAAAAAAGTGTCCTAGGGCACCTTCACATTAGAAATGTTTCTGCAAAGCCAGAATTTTGCTCGTAATTCTCGATTTTCTCCATCAGAAGTCAACTTCTATCTAATAAAAATATCATATTCGAAATCAGAATCAAAAACTGAGTCGACCAATGTGTATTTCCATCTATCCGACCACTTTAGTTTTGTCGAATTTTTCACCAAAAATGAAGATCAAGTAAAAATTTCAAAATACACATTGGTCGACTCATTTTAATTAAATTTGATTCGACCAAATTTTTTCCTGAGAGTAGTTCTAAAGTCTAGTAAGTGTCTAGAAATATTTTCCTCTTCATTCTACATCTAGCCTTTGATTAGTCGATGAAATTTAGGCATGTGCCGATTTTATCAGCTAATCGTTTCCGTCTTTTTATTATTTGCGTTTGTCTGTTTACTATTGTTTATTAAAAAAAATGTATTATTTGTAAAACTTGAAACACTTACAAATAATTTCGTAAAATTTTGCACGATCTCTGCTAGTTAAATTTTGAAAAAAAATGGAATTAAAATAAACTTCTTTCGCAATGATAAATGAGAGTCGAAGATTGTACGATCCTTAGACAAATTCGAGCTTCAATACGAATGCATTGCGTCTACATTTCCATCGAAAAATACACGTACATATTGCCAGATGAATAATAAAATTTTATTTCTTTATAAATAAAACAACTGTGGTTTAACGTTAAATAGAATTCAAACATATTGACATATGAAATGTTTTATCATTCATTTGACAACATCAACAAAAACAATAAGAAAATTATATATCTCCCCTAAACACAAACACATACAATCTATTTGAAAAATGACAAAAAGAAAACAAAAAAAAAAAATAACGAGAATAAACAAGATAAATATGGTTAAACAACGTAATATCGTATTCTTAACGAATGCTAGAACAATGTTAAAAAACAAATACGTATGCCAGAAGTGCTAATATTACAATGCTGCCAACGGATAACGCCACTTTTGTTAACGATGACATACGATTCAAATAATTTGCATCTTTACGATATTGTTGAGATAAACTCGCTAAACGGTTTGCTTTTGTATCCAATGCTAAAAAAAGAAAAGAAAAGAAAAAAATATATATATAGTACATGTACGATATCTTAAATAAAATAGTGATGATCAATGCTATTAATCGAACTTACTCTGTAATGTTTCTCCTCTACTCAAAACATCATGTATATTAGTTAACATAATATTTTGTACATCTCTTAGATCACCACGTAGTTTACCCATCACTTCTTTCGATCGACTATCCGAATATTGTTTTTTCATTTTTTGAATATAATTATCTATAAATAATCAAATAAAAGACAAAATAAAGTATATCAATGAATAATTTTATTAAAATATTTTATCTATACCAAATTCAATAAAACTGTATGGTCTTGCAGCTAATTGAATTTTTTGTCCATATTGTACAATAAATTCTTGTGCAATATCTTCTAAATAGGCGAATGCATTTTTTCGAGAAAATGATTTTTCACATAATGTTAAATAACAAACATCATGATCAATCAAACAACTAGAAGTAAAGAAAAAAAAACATATATGTGAATGATATATACAATACAATGATGATATAAAATCATATTACTGGAATATATATGGATCAGTTTCAATACTAGCTTTTGATGGTGAATTTTGGGTTAATCGTCTTAGAATATTTTTAGCTTGATTTTGATATTCTGGTGTACCTTTACCAGACTAAATAAAAAACAAACGATAATAATAATAAAAGTAAAGAAGTGAAAAAAGATATATGAATTACCTCATCACGTATATCATTATGAACAGAGGCAGCTAATGGTAGACCATCGGCCACACGGCCAATCATTGTCATTAAAACCATCTACAAAAAGAAAAACAAGCAACAGATATATATAGTATAGCCTAAAATTAGAATCTAAAATTATCTATTTTGAATGGAACCTGTATATAACGTCACTATTTGCTCTGACTAGTTTTCTGAACAGGGAGCTACAGTTGATGATGATGATGATGATGAGTAACAATATGTCAACTGTAAGAAAGATAGCAGGCTTTTCTAACAACTAATAGTTGCTAATACACTCGTGTAGTCTCTTCTTTCATTATTTGATCCTTGCTGATAGAATTTTTCTTGACAGTTGTAATAAAAGCGAAAAAACAAAAAAATTTTTATTGCAGTTTATTCTTTTTCTTTTTTTATATCAAAATAAGACTATCTTTGTCTTTCTCGTCTACTTCCAATATATACAAACTTCATCAAAATAAGAAACAAAATTAGAAAAACAAGAGTGGTTTCATATGAAGATAAGTATCACGTTTGTATCAAAGTCTGTTGTAAATTGAGAAAATATTCGGCGTAATGTCCAACATCTTGTATATTTTTTTGTATAACAAATCGAATTGGATCAATAAATTGTGGTTCACGAATTTGTTGTTTTAATCGAGAATTATCTATTAATGGATATTGTTGTTGCTAAAAGAAAATAAAAATTCAATAAATAGTACCCAATAATCTTTATTCTCTTCGATTTACTTTTAAATAATTCCATGTATTCAACATTAACATGTAACAATCATAGGTTGAAATATAAGGAAATAATTCATAAATATCATTCAATGGCGAAGGTAAATATCGAGCCTAGAACAGTTAATATTCAATTTTTAAAGTACCAATACTATTTATTTAGTATACATACCTTTCTTAGTAATACTAATAGATTTGTTGATAAAGATAATAGACGATTATAAAGTTTAGCTCTTTCTTCTCGTAAATTTTCCCATTGTACAATGAGTGAACTTAATATACATCGAACTAGCGGTAGACATAAATGAAACGAATTTGAATCTAAAAATTCTGATACAAATTAGATTTATTTATTAACAAAGATTTATTTAGTTATTTATACCTGAACTGACTATTTCAAGCAAATTCCATACAAGTGGTTGATCTTCTAATCGTCGAACAAGGGCCAAATTTCTTAAAACAAAACAAACACATCATAATCATTAATAAAATATCTTAATAGAAGTTTCGAATCATATTTCAAGTAAGGTGTCCGTACTTCGAAGTTTCCATGACTTTTTTTTTATTTTGATATATTTATACATGGTTGGATAGAGGACATCGAACTGAGTAAGAAAAAGTTAGTTTTCAGTTTTGAAAAAAATATTTTCAGAGTGAAAGTTTTGAAAAACTTTAAAGGACCGATTTTGCTCAAAATCGCTACAGTTTCAACAAATTCAAATTTTGCATTTTCTCTTTACTTTCAAGTTTTAAAACTAATTTTTTTGAATTCAGCATCGAAAACTGAGTATAGAGAAAATGTTTGATTGATCTCAAACCTAAAACCTGATTTAGTTTGCTTCACCGGAACTGACACTCCAAAATGACAGAGAAGGTCATTTTGCAAACTCATCTAGTTTTTTGTGTGAATACATTTTGCCATTTCTCTTATCTCATTCCAACTGTCAAACCGTCAGCTTTAACATGATGTATCGATTGTTTTTAATTTTGTTTTTTCACGGAGAAAATTCAATTTTTCTAAATCAGAAGCGAAAAAATCAGAATTCTGCGACTAATTCTCATTTTTCTCCACGAGAAGTCATTTTTTTGTGCAATAACAATACCATATTGAGAATCGCCATCAAAAACTCAGTCGAATGATGTATTGTTTCATCCTATCCGACATCTTTCGTTTTTTTCAAATTTTCACGCCGAAAAATTACTGAGATTTTCACGAAAAAATGAAAATCAACGAAAAGTTTTAAAATATACACCATTCGACTCAGTTTTTGGTGACAATTCTGAATATGGTAGCTCTGATGGAGAAAATTGAGAGTTACGAGCAGAATTCTCATAATTACGTCATGTTAAAGCTGACAGTTTGAAGGTCACTTCAAACCTTGAAAGTAAAGAGAAAATGCAAAATTTGAATTTTTTGAAAGTGTAGAAATTTTGAGCAAAATCGGCCCTTTAAAGTTTTTCAAAACTGAAAACTAACGTTTTCTTACTCAGCTCGATGTCCTCTATCCAACCATATATAAATATATCAAAAAAGAAAAACGGGCATCTTACTAGGACTACTTCCATAAGAATATCAGTTATTCAACCGTAACTCACACGAGTGAACCTTGCGAGGTGCACTATCGTCAAACATAGATATTTTTGTTGACTACTTGCCTTTCATTTGGTGCTCTACACATTTCATCATCAAAATGAATGTCCATTGTTGAATCTGGTAAAATATTATCGATCAACGTTTGAGCTATGTTTAATAAAAGATTATGATTTGTTGTGGGCTGTTGTTGACTATCAGCTAAATCTAATTCATTAAATACTGAGGTCATTAAAATTATATATTCTTCTTGAAACTGGAAAAGAAAAATCGGTGAAAATTTTATAAATATCCTACGTAACAAAGGGAGAGAGAGTTTAAGACATACTTGATGTGGAATTTTTAGAGTTTTCTCATTAAAACCACCACTGGTTCCATTAGTAAATGCTTGTGAAAATTTTCGTTTAAATGCTCGCGCTGTTCGCGTTGCATCATTCATATTTTGTTCATATAACGAGACAGAACTATCACCAGTCAAACGTTGATTTACAATATCATCAATTTTATCAAATGACTAAAATATTTAACAAATTAGAATTTTCATACCAAATACATACGTATACACACACACAACTAAAGTAGTAACTAATTACACACAGTGTTTCCACTTTGAGTAAATGTATTTCTCGTTATAACGGATGAGCCATAAATAATAAATAGTGTTAATATTTTCAAATTTTCTTCTCTTTCTTATAATCAATTGAGTAAATGTTTTTACTAAAAGATAGTGTGTTCAATTCTCAACAAAATTTGTTTTGAGTGAAAATATCCGACGCAACACTTGGCTTATCAGCAATCGAGTGAAAACAGCAAATTATTTTGTAGAGAATTGAACACAACTATCTTTCGGTAAAAAAATTTGCTCAATTAATTATAAGAAAGAGAAGAAAATTTGAAAATACTAACACTATTTTTTTATTATTTATGGTCTACTCGTTAGTTTAATAATAATATTTTACGTACACTAATTTTTGGCACAACAACATCGACTAGAGCTATGCTAATAAATAAATTAAATTCATAATTTCTAAATTGTATCCAATTAACTAATGCATCACGCCATAATATAAAGTCATCAAACGAAGATTTTACTGTTGAATCTAAACCAAATAAATACAAAATATTTAATTCTTTATTTCTTTTTTAATTTTAGTAAAATAATTGAAATATAATACAAACTGTGTAAATATTCGATAATTCTTAAATGTGAATCAGCAAATGCAGCTGCCATATGAATTAATTGTTCATATTGAGGATATTTAATGGAACACGGTACTATTGAAAGTATTTTTAATATCTGTAATAAAATTGTATAAGATGATTCATCATTCATTAGACGACCAAAATGATCAATTAATAACCAAATGGTAGCTGTTAATGATGGTCTAGAAAAATATTAACAACAAGAACATAGAATAATAATGTTACTTAAACAAAAAAATACATACCCACTCGATTGTTCTTTTTCATCAATCAATAATAATTGTAATAGATTCTCAAATAATTGAACATCTTTTTCTTTTTCTTCAAATAATAAATCGAGAGTATTATACAAACATTTTGGATAATAATATTCAATTTCAAGACGAATATCATGTATAACACTGATCTAAAACATTTAAAAATATGAGAAATTTTTGTGTAAAATTGATGGACAAAAATTATCCGATGATATCTTTAATCAAAATTTTCTACGTTTTTTATTTTCTACTCTTACATTTCACAGAAAATTTTGATCACGATCATCGTATTATTAATCACAATTATGAAATTAATTGCAATTAATATATTACATTTACACAAGTAAATTAATCGTGATTAAAAGTATAGTGTAACCATCGTGTACAGTTATGTCTAATACAATAATGTACAAATGTGACACACATAATACAAAAAATACATTCAATTTTAATATATTTTAATTGTTACATACTGGCTGTGTACTTGTTAAAATATATTTTGTATATTTGATAATAATATCATCTCCATT